TCGGCCTCGACGGAGGAGGCTCGTGAAGGACGCCGCTGCTGGGCAGCAGTTGGAGGCAGTCGCCCTCCAACAACGGAGAGGAGACGGCGCTCACAACCGCGAGCGGAGTGCCGCGCGGATAAATCGCAGCAATTTGGCACCGTAGGAGGGGGGTGGGGGGCATAGTACCTGGGCCTGCTCCGTGACCTGCCGGCGACCCTTCGACGCTTCACGCAGTCTCGGAGTGCACGTGGCCTGGCACAAGCGTCATGGTGACGTCACCGTCACTTGCGGCTGTTGTTGTTGTGTGAACACCGGTGACGATTATCTGAACCGGTCCTGGGCCTCCTCTAAGTCGACTCGGCTTTGAACGAGAACGTGGTGCGATGTGTAAACATCGCCACCGGGGAGACAAAGGCGGCCCGGGCGCGGTGCTGGCCACTGCACCCTCCTCGTGTGCCCGTGCCGATCTTCATAAATGCTACTCGCAAAGAGCACTTGCCCCAACAGCCTGTTAAAGGCTATACGGAACAACAGGGGGAAAAAACCTATTCTCATATATTGGTACTGGCAAAGGAGGTCCCATGATGTAGATGCTCACCCCGAGCTTTCATTACTCTGATAGTGGCATTGTCTTTGTGCTGTGTACGCCTTTTGGCGTCCTCTGGTCTCACACCGTTTGAGACGAGGCTCCAAAGAAAGCTGTCTCTGGTGTGGACCAATCAATTTCAAGGACAATGCCAATATATTTTCAGAGTTTGTGTTTTGTTTGCATTCTGACCACAAGTATCGTGGTTAATGCAAACATGATTCCTTGTAAAAGATCTGTTTTGTTGCCCGAAAAAAGGGGAAACAACCGATTCTCTTCTTATACGGAACATCTTTGTGTGTCTGTGTGTGTGAGAGAATGGGTGAATTTGTCGTGAGGTCGATGATGATGTGAGTGTGTGTGTGTGAGAGATAGGATAAGGAGGAGGGTGAGAGTGAGTGCATTCATAAGAGAGATGAGCGCATGCTTACGATTGTGTGCACGTGTGTCATTGTGTCTGTGATCACCGATAAGCGTGTGAGAAAGAATAAGTGCATACTGGCGTGTACGTATGAGAGAAAGAGAGATGTTTGACAAGTGCGTGTGTGAGTGGTGCGTGTGAGAGAGGGGAACTGTGTGCGTGAGAGTGTGTGTGTGGGGAGCTGTGGCGTAGTGGTTAGTGCTACGCTGCGCTACGAACCCGGCGACCCGAATTCGATTCCCGCTCACGGCCAACACCAGTGGTGACGATTATCTGAACCGGTCTTGGGCCTCTCCTAGGTCTACTCAGCCTCAAATGAGTACCTGGTGCGGTGTGTAAACATCGCCACTGGGGATACAGAGGCGGTCGGGCGTGGTGCTGGCCACCCACCCCCTCGTGTACATCCAGTCTGTTAAACGCTATGGGGGTGGGGGGGGGGGTATTTATCTATCTCGTTGTGTGTTTATGTAACCTCGTACCAGTTCAGATATCACGTGCCACTGATGTTAGCCGTGGCCGTGAATCTAATTCGGCTCACCTGGTTCGTAGCGCAGTGGCCCTAACCACTGCGCCACCGCTCCACGCTCCTGCTGGCTGATTATATATTTTTTATTTACGAGTAGCGATGCATATTCATATTAGCCCTCTGGACGAGAGGCCGATTCTGCTGGCAGGTGGCGTGAGCGAGAACATTTGCAGGGTTGCGCCTTTATTTACCCTTCCACGCACGGGCCATTGTGGCGATCCACTGCTGGATGATGTCCTCCCCACGCCGTGTTGGTTAAAGGGGGCGGGATGGGGGGGGGATTGACCATACTTCACCGAGCTGGGTCAGGGCGGGCTTGGTGGCGTCTGCCGCTGCTTCTGATCGGTCTGGCGTGACGGAGCAGGGCCCCAAGTTCGCGTGTTCGTGCGCCTGAACTTCTGCGATGGCCAACGTGGACGTTCAAGAGGTGTAGGGGCGGGGCAGGGTGGGGGGGGAGGTTGGGGAGGTGGGGAGGGGTCTGAAATAATTAGAGCAAAGGAGTCACGGCCCGCGGAACAGGGGGCATCGGCCCCGCATCAATCCCGGAGCCACCACCGCCACCCCCGCTGCCAATACCACGTCGCACCCCCCCCCCCCCGTTCGTCTCCCTCGCCGAGAGGAAATCGCCTCCCAAGGCGAGGGCAGCCACCACCACCCCCCGCCAGCTGCCTCCCTCCCTGCGTCCCGGGCAGCACCGCACTGCGCGGCGCTCTGTGACCAAAACGGCCACACACGGGCCGGCAACGTTGCCCATCTCGCAGCCCATAAGCAGTGGGGGAGGGGGGGGTGAGCCCCGGGTGAGTGGTCTGATGGGGGCGGCCACGGTGGGCGCGAACGGGGGGGGGGGGGTCAGAGGCGTTCGTGGAGGGCAGCAGCGGAATCCATTGCTGTGCTCAACTCTTCCTGTCCCTTGCACATCCTCTTCCACCCTTCCTGCTGACTCCCTGCTTCTCTTACAGCCTCCCTCCCCTCGTAACCCTCCCCCCCACTCAGTGTCTCCCCTCGCCGTGCCATCCCCCGACCACCCCCACCCCTCCCCCCCCCCCCCCCCCCCCCCACGGGTGATGTTCCACCACGCCTCGTTTGGTGTTCGTGGGTCGTGGCTTTAGTTACAGGGAGCTGCGGGGTTTCCCGAGCCGCTGCGTTATTCACGCCCCCCCCCCCCCGTCTAGCTCCCCCTCCCCCTCTCTGCACCACACTTTGTCCATCTTCCCATATATACAGCCCCCCCCCCCCTCTTTTCCATTCATCTATCTCCCTGGCCATCCAGCCAGCCATGCTTCCTACCATCCCATTTATCCACTTATGGATTCATTCCTCGTTCGATATTTTTCGGAACGCCGCCAGGCTTGCTTGGGGGGGGGGGGGGGGGGGGGGGAGGGGGTGTAGGCGTTATCGGCGTAAGGCACTACTACTAGAGTACACGTTACTCCTCTCCACGGAAATAATAATAACAACAATCCCTTACCGTTGTCACATGAAGATGTTCACGGAAAATAACAAGGCGAGATGGATGTGGCGCGCCAAAATGAACCCTTACCATCAATCTGATTACCATCAACCATTTGTGTCCACCGTCAGCACGTGTGCCTACCATCAGCGTGTTTACATGGACCTGTTTACAGCAACGTGTTGACAATGAGCCAAAAGCAAAAGCCACTCGGGTCCCCGAGCAGCCCGAAGGGCCCTCGGATTCATGAAAGATTCGGGCGGTTGCACCCAATGTCAACTCGAATTCAAATTCTAATGAACATCAAACGCCGATTTACATGAAGGCGCTAATTAATAATCTCTCGTTCTCGCCATATCGGGCGCGGCTCCCCCCCCCCCCCCTTATCCGTCTCGCCACTGTTGCCTGCTCCATTCTCTTGGTGTCGCCACATCCCCCGTCGCTCGTCTGTATCTCTGGGTGCCATCTCGTTCGCTCGAAAAATAAAAACGCGTCCGTGCTCATCCCCCCCCCCCACACAGATTACGGTCCCGCAAAGCCAGTGGTGGAAATTCCACATTCCTATGGCGGGGGGAAGGAGGAGGGGGAGGGCGAATCTCTGCTCTCCATAGGATCACCCCCACCGTTGACTTCGCCACAAAGTAGTGCCCTACTCATTTTATCGGACCCCACAGGAATGATGGGTTGAGTCAACCCCACCCCCCCCCCCCCCCAAACTAGGATGTGAATCCGCCACCTCGCGATTGTGAGCCACTCGCTCACCCACCCGCTGATAATCGCCCTGGGAGTTCATGAATCTAAAAATGGGAGGCGGAGGGGTGGCAGGGGGGGGTGGCGGGGGTGGCGGGGGGGGGATGCGGAGGGGGGTGGCGGGGGTGGACCCCCAAAATAATTTCTGCCTATGGCCTCCACCTTCCCCCGGTGGGCTCGCACCGCCACTGGCCGCCCACCGTGGTGGGGCAGCCTTTGCGACCTTGCGCCGGCACCACCCCGCGGCAGCGCAGGGCCTCTCCCGTCGCTAATTAGCGGAGCAATTAATGCCATTATACAGCTCGTTAGGCAATTGCATTTGTACAATAATGGAGCAATTTACCTCTGGCGTGGCTGACCTCCGGTGTCTGCCGCTGCCGTTGATGCGAATCGTTCCGCGTTTTGTCTTTATTCATTTTATCTTGTTGATGTTTAATACTTTGTTTTTATTAGATTGTTTCCCCATGGCCGCGCCTCCCCCCCCCCCCCCTCCCCTCTAATTGTAATCTCTGATTGCGTTATTGGCGTCGCCCCACGAGACGGAGGGACCGTTCGAACCTCCAGCGCAGTGCAACGCCAAATTTTTCAGAGAACGGTCCACGGAAGTGGATGTCACAGAACTACTTCTGAGAATCATTTCAAGCGATCTGCGGGACGACGCACTAGCAGAAGGAGGGGGGAGGCGTTGCGGGGGGGTTGGGGGGGTAGCATCTCTGTCCCCACTTGCCCTGGCACATGGGGCATTGTTCGTCATGTGACAGAGTCAAACCGATATTTGTTTATATTAATTTTAAGAGATGAAATGTGTTTCTCTCTCTCGTCCCCCCCCCCCCCCCCCCACTTCAATTCTTTACGTTTGTTGAGTTGGGAGTTTTTAGAATTGTTTCGTAAAGATGAATTCACATTCGGGAAAACGTGTGAGAGGTGGCCACAGCTTAGGGAGGGAGGATGAGGAGGCTTTCATCCAGCAGTGGATTGAGCATGGCTGGTCGTAACCATGATGACGATGATGAAACATGTGGGGTTCAACTGCACCCCCCTCCTCCTCCTGATCACACACTGACTCCCGCCCCCTCCACTCCCCCGCGTTGCCGCTCGGTTTTTAGCAGAGATTTTAATTCGTCATGGAATATTGCGCGGTGGCCCCTAACCCCTAACCCCTCTTTTTCTGGAGCTCGGCCCTGAACTGCTCCGGCTGAAATTAAGGCCCGGTTTTTTTCTTCTGGTTGTCCCCCCCCCTCCCTCTCTGCCCCCGCCCCTCCCCTCCCACGCGCTCCTCCTCCAGGTGACTCGTGCGAGGAGGCGCTCCTGCCCACTGCGTTCTCCGCTTCCTCGGAGCTCACGGCCGCTCACGCGCCCAGCTACGCGCGCCTCAACCGGCGAGAGGGTTCGACCCCCCCTCCCCGCTCCCTCCCTCCTCCGTCCTCCCAGCTCCCCTCCCCCCCCCCGCCCATCTCCTCCTCCGTCCCCTCGCCCCGATTAATAAAGGGAGAAATAATTCAACGTTGAACGCAGCGTTCGCCAGACAGCGAGAGAGAGAAATGTGTTCCGTCTCAAAATTGACAACGACGCCGTCGTAAGCGAAGCGGTGTCGAACGAAGAGCCGCGGGAGGCGATCGACCGCGGGCCGGAGTGACGGGGGGGGGGGGGGGGGCCTGCACAGTCAAGCGGGGGGTGGCGATGCACGCGGTGGCGGCTCGTGACATCGCCACGAGGGTGGTGCTGCTGTGAGTGACCTCTGAAAAGATGGTGTTCTCATTGAGAAAAAAAGCTCGTCACGTTATTGGCCTTCCCGTAAACGTGAAATCACTGTCGTATCTACCAACGGTAGGCGTTTATAAACGATACGAAAAAAACAACAACAAAGCACTCAAATGCTGTCCCCATGACTCTCAAGACCATACAACACAACCGCTGTGACACTGCCAAAAGCCTAAAGGGCAATTAAAGATCAGCCGACACGATCCACCAAATTAGCCAAGGCAAGCAGGACGCCGCACACTGCACAATAACAGCCGCACACCGTCGTACACCGAACCTAGACCAAAAAAAACTTTGATCTGTATTCGCTAGCCCTACGATTTCACTTTTCATTAGAGCTCTTCTCGTTGTGTGGTCACTGTCTCACTGTTATCTGTGGCAGCGGTAACATCACTTGACACTGACTAACATTGTCGAATGGAAAGCTAGGCCTATACTGACATTAGCCTGCAAATTTGATGTTGGGTTTAAGCCACGATTATAAGTGCAGTGTAACAAATATTTCTGGTTTTAAAGCCACATTAGTGCTATTCGGCTATATGCTTAACCATATTTCAATCAACTAATTAAATTGCCATTAAATAATTCACATGGTTCACTGTGCATCATATCCCCAAGATGGGCGACTCACAATAGCAGGCTCCCCATTTCCTCCCCATTGGCCTATTTGTCCAAGGACGTCGATTATTCTGAGAAGCAAACTCGGCAATCACTCGTCCGTTGAAGTCGGGAATGTTCATTGATCAGCTTCTTTTCCATTGAGAGCAGAGAAAGCGCGCCACGGCGGTCCTTGGACAAGGTGTTTCTCAGAAGTGTTGTTTTTACTCTTTTCAAAGTTTGAATATTTACGAGTGACTCCCACAGTGCCCGTTGCTAATTCGTCGTTTGCTGCACCCTGCTGCCATCGCCGAGAGAGTGTAGGCCGTGACCTGCCGTTATGTTTGAAACTGTGCAACCTCGCTTTGTGACTTCGTTATTACAGCCATGGGTGCGTTTGTCACCACCATGAATGGGTCTCAAACGGCGTGGCTAAAATGCAAAGCTGCTAATCGCAACGAACGAAGAGAAATCTCTCACTCGAGACGCCTTCACAGCCGCCCCGAGACCTCCCCGAGGCAAAAATGAGACTAGCGTTGCACCGGTTTATAATACGAACAACCTAAAATGTTATCTTCATTAGGCAATTCACGTTGAAATCATCATTACATGTATATTTAAAAAATGTAAACACAGCAAAACAATTTATAGAAAAGTATATTGTATCATAAAAATAAGTAATATTTTTTTTTAAACACGCTTTTATGAAATGTACTAGTAATGGCAGAACTCCACGACTCCAGGAAGTGGCCCCGAAGCTTGCCACAACGTAAGGGGACCGTGGGCAATTACAGCCAGCGTCAGTTGAGCTTGGACAATTAGACCCAAGCCGAAACATAACATATAAAAAATAATGTGTTTTTTATTTGTATTATGATAGAATATAGTATTGTCATCAGTATGACATAAGTATACCAAGTTTACAGTCGATACCACATTGGGAAGTGTGTTCAAATTGAGTTACAAGATTTAAGGATACAACGACAACAACAGACTGAGTTAATAAAAAGCATGTAGTAGTAATAATCTCTCATCTCCAGCTGCCTGGTGGGGCGACGCCCCCAACGCCCCTAGTGGACGAACCTCGCCTGGAAGCACGGCAACCCCCACAGCCCCCACAACCCCCACAGCCCCCACAGCCCCCACAGCCCCCACCCCCACCACCACCCCCACCACCCCCACCACCCCCACAGCCCCCACCACCCCCACAACCCCCACCACCCCCACAACCCCCACCACCACCCCCACAACCCCCACCACCCCCACCACCCCCACAACCGTCACCACCCCCACCACCCCCACAACCCCCCACAGCCCCCACAGCCCCCACCCCCACCCCCACCACCCCCACCACCCCCCACAGCCCCCACAGCCCCCACAGCCCCCACCCCCACCCTCACCACCCCCACCACCCCCACAGCCCCCACCACCCCCACCACCCCCACAACCCCCACCACCCCCACCACCCCCACAGCCCCCACCACCCCCACAGCCCTCACCACCCCCACAACCCCCACCACTCCCACAGCCCCCACCACCCCCACCACCCCCACAGCCCCCACCACCCCCACAACCCCCACCACCCCCACAGCCCCCACCACCCCCACCACCCCCACCACCCCCACAGCCCCCACCACCCCCACAGCCCCCACCACCCCCACAACCCCCACCACCACCCCCACCACCCCCACCACCCCCACAACCCCCACCGCCCCCACCACCCCCACCACCCTCACCACCCCCACCACCCCCACCACCCCCACCAAAAAAACCAGCAGCAAGTTCGCTCGACCACACACACACACGTACATGGAACAATCGACGGAGCCATCACGACCGGGGGTTAAACGAACTCTCGTTTATTCCACTCGGCAAATGTTATTGGGGAGGGCACCCCACACGCCCCGTGCTAACCGCCGGGAAGGGGGTGGTGGTGGGGGGGGGGAGGGTGAGCACCGGGGGTGTGGTGCGGGAGAGTCGAGGGGCGGAGAAAAGGCGAGAAAAGATCTTTGGCAAGGGTGCGGGGCGAGCTGTGAAGAACGACGGCGGTTACGCCGCGCGATGCGATGCAAATGTAATGCACATTTAGACAGATTCGTTCACATTAAATTCCCACGGATATGCCGCTCCAGATAACGCGCGCAATCCTTCAAGGGGGGGGGGGGGGGGGGAAATCTCGGGTTGTTTGAGGTGGGGCTGGAGGGGAAGGGGGCGGAGGGGGAGGGAGAGCAAGATTTTAATGATTTAATCTCGAAGATTCGCGGAGCAAAGCACTGCTGCCCCCCCCCCCGCCCGAAACGTAAGCACCGAGCTGAAGGTGATGTGAGGTCGGTAGGCGCGTGCGGTGCGAGGTGCGTGTGCCAGGGATAGGTGCACTCTGAAGTCACGTGGCGGCTAGCAGGCTGTTAGGGGAGCTTGGCACGAGGACTGGTCGGGGGTCACGACCCCGGGTGCGGTCAAGGCGAACGTTGGAGTGGCGGACAAAGGAGGGCGACATTCACCGGGGGAGATGGAGGAGCCGTGGGGAGGGGCTCGTGAGCGCGGCGCTACATCGCGGGCCCGCGAGGGTGGCCGAATGTCTTGGTGGAGGCCTTCATCCAGCAGTGGATTAATCATGGCTGATGATTCGGGATGGTGTAAATACAAGACAATGACAAAATAATCCCCCGTATAGCAAGTGCTGTTAGCGAGCACCTATGAAGGCCGGAACGGCACACGGGGGGGGGGGGGGGTGGGTGGCCAGCACCACGCCCGGCCGCCTTTGTCTCCCTAGTAGCGATGTTTGCACACCGCACTAGGTACTCATTTGAGGCCGAATCAACCTAGGGGAGGCCCAGGAACGGTTCAGATAATCGCCACTGGTGTTGGCCATGAGCTGGAATCGAACCCGGGTCGCCAGGTTCATAGCGCAGCACGCTAACCGCTACACTACCGCTCACATACACACACATACACACACACAGACACACACAGACACACACACCGGCACTGCCATACTTTGTACCTCCCCAACCGATCTCCCCTCTCTGTTCCACAACCTCCCTCCCCATGCCCCCCTCCCACCTCCCAACTTTCTCTCCACTGACGCCCCCCACCAATGCCGCCCCCCTACTCGCCCCCTTGCCCCACCACCCAACCCCCCCCCCCTTGCCCCACCACCCAACCCCCCCCCCTTGCCCCACCACCCAACCCCCCCTTGCCCCTCGTGCCCCCCCCCCCACGAGTACAAACGCGGACTCTGATCCTGCGTAGGGGCTGGAGGCTGGGCCCCTGCCGCCGGCGACCCTGCCCCGTGGCTGCAGCTGGACCTGGGCTCGCGTGTCCGCGTGACGGGGGTGGCGACCCAGGGCCGCTACGGCTCCTCCGAGTGGGTGCAGCGCTACCAGCTGCTCTACAGCGACGGCGCGGGCAACTGGAGGCGCTACCAGCGGGACGACAACCTGTGGGTGAGTGGGTGCGCGTGGGGGGGGGGGGGGGTGCACGGGGGGGGGGCAGTTCTGAAATGTGAAGATTTTCAAAGAAAGATCGACTGCATTGGGCAAAGACCGTTAGCGAGCGGCACCTATGAAGGCCGGCGCGGCCCACGAGGGGCGTGGGTGGCCAGCAAAACGCCCGGTCGCCTTTGTCTCCCCAGTGGCGATGTTTACGCATCGCACCGGGTACTCATTTGAGGCTGAGTCGACCTAGGGGAGGCCCAGGACCGGTTCAAATGTTTCGCCACTGTTATTGTTCGTGAGCGGGAATCGAACTCGGGTTACCGGGTCCGTAGCGCGGCGCGCTGACCGCTACACCACCGCTCGCCCAGTCTGTTAAGGCCATACGGGGGATCTTTGTCTTTATTTCGAGTTTTTTTTTATACAATTCAGAAAATGTTTAAATTATCCCCCTGAATGTTGAGTCAGAGTGAGACGCCGCCTGTAAAAGGGCATTATACGGAACACGAATATCTTTTGATAGTATATATATTTTCACATTATCTCAAGTTTGGACTCTTTCGCATTGGTTTTGCTGTAATTACTTTCGTAATGCTCTTTTCGCTTGCACACGATGTCTGTGATTCGTAATAAATTACCGGATGAAAGTGCTTCTGGCAGTGGTGCATTTACACTCGAAGTGCCCATTATTAAGATGACTTGAACATGAGAGGCTCTGAATGGACCAGGGGGCTCTCAGTGTGAAGGCCGAGTCGACCTAGGGGAGTCACAACCCTTGTTTTGAAACACGAGAACGTAAGAGGCCGAGTGGAAGTTTCTCCTAAAAAAATATATTCAGATGGTAAATTGAAACTTGAAAAGCCATTCGCAAAACAAAGACAAAGATCCCCCGTTATGCCTTCAACAAACTGTTGGGGCAAGTGCTGTTAGCGGGCACCTATGAAGGCCGGCACAGCACACGAGGGGGTGCGGTGGCCAGCACCACCCTCGGCCGCCTTTGTCTTCCCACTGCCGATGTTTACACACCGGGTACTAACTTTGAGGCTGAGTCGACCTCGGGGAGGCCCAGTTCCGGTTCAGATATTCGTCGCTGTTATTGCACGCGAGCGGGAATCAAACTCGGGTCACCGGGTTCGTAGCGCAGTGCGCACTGATACACAAAGACAAAGATCCCCCATATAACCTTAGCAGACTGTAGGGGCAAGTGCTGTTAGCGAGCACCTATGAAGGCCGGCACGGCACACGAGGGGGTGGGTGGCCAACACCACGCCCGGCCGCCTTTGTCTTCCCAGTGGCGGTGTTTACACACCGCACCAGGTACTCATTTAAGGCTGAGTCGACCCAGGACCGGTTCCGATAATATAATCGTCGCTGGTGTTGGCCGTGAGCGGGAATCGAACTCGGGTCGCCTGGGTTCGTAGCGCAGCGTAGCGCTAACCGCTACCCACACTGACACACACACACGCAACACATTGACAAACACGCAACACATTGACGCACACACACGCTCACGTATATCCGTTGCATCTCAAACAAAGAGCAAAAAAACACACAATCAACACCTGCAACCCCAGTGTCTCTCTCTGTGTGTGTCTCTCTCTCTCTGTGTGTGTCTCTCTCATAACGATCCGCATTTGAGAATCGATCCGGGAGAGGAGGACACAACATCTGAGAAAATGATGAATTCCATCGCTGACTAAAGAAAGCCATTGTGCGTCTATGTCTGTTCAATGGCAAGCGTTAAGCGAAGCTGAGATACAATTCACTTGAACACGTGGTCGGCTTTCGCGAGCAATCTTGTCCAATATAAAGGGATTTTTTTTTTATTCTTTTCGGGTGAGAACGCGTAAATATAAACGTGTCGTGAAGCCTGCCACCACCCAACACAGCCAATGAGTAAGGGTTGTCACGTGAACAATCACTGATCTCATTACTGCGATTGGTGGCCGGAGGGCCCCCGATGAGGTGAAGTATGGAGAGGGAGGTGGGGGGAGGTGGCGGAGGGGGGGGGTTAGAGACCATGAATAATACACAACCTTCTTGACCCTTCAGGGTTAATAAAGGATGGGAGAGAAGGATGAGAGGTCGCATGAATTTGCCCTGCCTCGCCGCCTCCCGACATCGATTCCACCGGTGACCAATTACTGGACCGTCACGCGAGCTGGCGTGTGTGTGTGGGTAATATAGTAACACACACACACCATGGCTAGGGGTAGTATAGTAACACACACACACCATGGCTAGGGGTAATATAGTAACACACACACACCATGGCTAGGGGTAGTATAGTAACACACACACACACCCTATGGCTAGGGGTTTATAGTAACACACACACACACCATGGCTAGGGGTTTATAGTAACACACACACACACACACCATGGCTAGGGGTAATATAGTAACACACACACACCATGTCTAGGGGTAGTATAGTAACACACACACACCATGGCTAGGTGTAATATAGTAACACACACACACACACCATAGCTAGGGGTAATATAGTAACACACACACACCATGGCTAGGGGTAATATAGTAACACACACACCATGGCTAGGGGTTTATAGTAACACACACACACACACACACCATGACTAGGGGTAATATAGTAACACACACACACACCATGGCTAGGGGTAATATAGTAACACACACACACACACCCCATGGCTAGGGGTTTATAGTAACACACACACACCATGGCTAGGGGTAATATAGTAACACACACACACACACACCATGGCTAGGGGAAATATAGTAACACACACACACATCATGGCTAGGAGTAATATAGTAACACACACACACACACCATGGCTAGGAGTAATATAGTAACACGCACACACACACCATAGCTAGGGGTAATATAGTAACACACACACCATAGCTAGGGGTAATATAGTAACACACACACACACACTATAGCTAGGGGTAATATAGTAATACACACACACCATGGCTAGGGGTAATATAGTAACACACACACACCATGACTAGGGGTAATATAGTAACAAAGACAAAGATCCCCCATATAGCCTTAACAGACTGTAGGGGCAAGTGCTGTTAGCGAGCACCTATGAAGGCCGGAACGGTACACGAGGGGGTGGGTGGCCAGCACCACGCCCGACCGCCTTTGTCTCCCCAGTGGCAATGTTTACACACCGCACCAGGTACTCATTTGAGGATGAGTCGACCTAGGGGAGGCCCGGGACCGGTTCAGATAATCGTCACTGGTGTTGGCCGTGAGTGGGAATCGAACCCGGGTCGCCAGGTTCATAGCGCAGCGCGCTAACCGCTACACTAACACACACACACCATGGCTAGGGGTAATATAGTAACACACACACACACCATGGCTAGGGGTAATATAGTAACACACACACACACACCATGGCTAGGGGGAATATAGTAACACACACACACACACCATGGCTAGGGGTAATATAGTAACACACACACACACCATGGCTAGGGGTAATATAGTAACACACACACACCATGGCTAGGGGTAATATAGTAACACACACACACCATGGCTAGGGGTAATATAGTAACACACACACACACCATAGCTAGGGGTAATATAGTAACACACACACACACCATGGCTAGGGGTAATATAGTAACACACACACACCATGGCTAGGGGTAATATAGTAACACACACACACCATGGCTAGGGGTAATATAGTAACACACACACACACCATAGCTAGGGGTAATATAGTAACACACACACACACACCATGGCTAGGGGTAATATAGCAACACACACACACACCATGGCTAGGGGTTTATAGTAACACACACACACACCATGGCTAGGGGTAGTGTGGCGGTCAGCGCGCTGCACTGCGAACCCGACCACCCAGGTTCGATTCCCGCTCACGGCCAACACCCAGTGGTGACGATTATCTGAAACGGTCCTGGGCCGTTTCAGGTCAACTCAGCCTCAAATGAGTACCTGGAGCGATGTGCAGACATCGCCACTGGGGAGACAAAGGCGGCCGGGCGTGGCTGCTGTCCACCCACCCCCTCGCGTGCCGCGCCGGCCTTCATAAGCTGCTACTCGCGAGAACACCACTTGCCCCAACAGACCGTTGGAGGCTATATGGGGGATCTTTGTCTATTGTGTCGTGGTTTCTTGGGTTGGAGCGGTGGCGCAGTGGTCGGCGCACTGCGCTGACCGCCAGTCTGAGTCGGGGGTTAAACTCCCCGGCAGCGTTCTTGCAATGCCCGCCCATGGATAAAATCAGTGGCGATCGAGATATATAAAAAATAACAGCCAACCGCCACTGACCAGCGTGGTGAAGTGTGATTAAACAACACACACGATCGATCGAGTTTGCCTGGGGAGGTCTTCACGCAGCAGCACATCATTGATCAAGAGCTGTAATAAGTTTATTTGTATGGAGTGACTGGCACCCGCCGTAGGAATGTGGAGTTGACACGGCTGGCTTAGGGCCGTGAGCAGAACGGAGTGAATCGCCCATACTCGTTTGAGCGGAGAGACGACACGAGAGAGTCTGAGTTATGTTCTGAGGTGATGAACACCAGCGCTTGTGTTGAAGCAAAACAAACCCAGGTCAGGCAGTGTTTAATTTGTTCAGCATTAGGAATATCTGCTGTACAGCGCAGGTTATGGAGGCCAAGATTGTAATGCTAGAGCCAGGATTAGCGTTAAGGCTGGCTGGGATTGTCCGGGTTTGACGAGGATTGTGTGCGGGTTGTGTCGGGTTTTGTCGATGCTCGGTTTGGATTTAGGGCTAGGGTTCAGTTCGGGTTTAGACTAAGTTTGGGTCAGGGTTAGAGCTCGGGTTCGATTCGAGAAAGGGCTAAGTTTATATCGGGGTTAGGGCTAGTCTTCAATGAGGTTTAGGGCTACGTTTGGGGCAGGGTTATGGTATAAGTTAAGTTGGGTTAGGGGATAGATTTATGGCTTTGGCTGGGTCAGAGCTAGTGTTATAGTCAAGGTTAGGTGCAAGGTTAGGGTTTGTGTTTTGTCAG